CCCGGCTCCACCATCTCACTGCCCGGCCGCCATCCCAATGTGCCCTGCCCGCCGTGGCCTGGTGACCGCCAGGCAGGAGGCGACAGCCCGCAGGAAGAACGGAAGCGTTCTCCTCCTCCTCCAGCTCTCACAGATCTTAAGGAAATAATTCAGCCTCTGTATTTTGACTCAAAACAAAGAAACTTTTAGAAAACATTTCAGTTGAAACTTGCATAATGCCTCCAGTGGAGACACCCTCCCTGACTTTCGCAATCCTTAGAAAGAGCCGCAGTATTGCTGCTTGTGTAACAGTCCCCGGGCCACAGAGTCTGCCGCCAGCCGACGGCCACGGCTACCTCCCGCCAGACGGCCAGGGTGCCGGCCCGGAAGTGCCTGGTGGCGGGGTGTGGGGCAGGGCTGGGGTCACGCTCTCCAGACTTCCGCACCTCCCGTCCCGTCTGTCCTCACCGACGCCCAGCGCAGACATGCACAGCACACTGCAGGAAGGCTGAGGAACCCACACACCGCGAGGCCACAGCCCTGCTGAGCCCTCACTGACAAGCGACCTCGGCTGAGGGATCAGGGACAGCGGTGAGGGCCACTCCATGACCCCACCCTACTCCAGAAGCCCACATCAGGGAACCGCAGGAGTCACGGGGCCCAGCCCAGCTCCAAAGAAGGGTGCGGGACTTGAGCAAAAGGACCTCCTGGAGAACCACCCAGACGCACAGGCTCTGCTCACTGAAGACCCACTGAGGACACCTGCAGCCCCACCCCTTCCCCATTCAAGTGGCCAACGATGGGGTGCAGGGCAGAAGCGAGAGGCCTCGCTCCAGCTGCTGTTCCCCCATTTGAGAAAACACCCCCACAGCCTTTCCTCTGGGCCTTCACCCTAATGTGCAGACTGACTCAGACCCCATCCATCTGTATGGGGGAGGCGGCAGGAGCCTCACCTGAGACCGTACCCCACCTTCTCAGCCAATCGCCTGGAACCAGAAAGTCACCATGGAACCCCACAAAAACATAGAGCAAACCAAGTGGACAAAGGGACAGCTGACCCTCTAAAGCTCCGCCAGACCCAACAGCCTTGGGCGAGCGCAGCCACCATCAGAGTGTGGGCTCCTGGAAGGGGGTGCTGGCCAGTCCTGCCAGCCGCCGGCGTGTCCTGCTGCTGTTCCTTCCCGGGAGGACTCCTCCTGAGGGAGCAGGAAGCCCCTCAGAGAGGGTCCCAGGGCCAGGCTCCCTCCTCTGCACGCAGAAACCACAGTCTTGCCCCTCAGGGACGGTGGGGCTCAACGCTCAGCGCCAAGGGCCTGCCCGGGCCTCTGCTACGAGGAAACACTGTCTCTGATCGGGAAAAGTCGTCAGGAGACACAGGGAAACTGTTTCACATGAGGAACTCAGACAACCCAGCCACGGAGGCTCCCTCGCACACCACGGGGTCAGCAGGCTGCCTGCCGCCCCTACCACACTCCAGCCACACAACAAAGGCAAACCAACAGGCCAGCGCCCTCCCCGAACTCGAACTCGAACTCGGGCGCCGGGAGGACAGAGGCATAGCCTCTGCGGCCTGAGGACCAGAACACAGCAGCACTCCCGAGGGGCCTGTTTCTCGAACACAGAGCCAGCCCAGCTTGGGCCCCAGGGAGGCAGAGCACCGCCCTGTCACCCCCGAAAGGGAAGCACCTGGTTCCCCAGCGAGGAGGGACCAGCAGCCTCACCCAGGCAGCGCCCAAGCTGGCAGTGCCAACATCTCTTCTATGACTGACAGCAACCTGGGCTGCTAAAAAACGAGTCCAATTTAGTCTGAACGCCATCAGACAAGCCCAAGAGGGAGGGCGAGCCCACCGGGTAGAATGAAAGGGGAGAGCGAGAATCGAGGTCCCCGTCTCTCTGCCACGTTCCCAGCAGCAAAAACGGCACATCTCCACCCACCTGTGACACCGACACCCGGACTCCGAGATAAATAGAACATCACGGCCACACTTACTGCGGCCCCATGTGACACACGCGGAAACTGAGGCACAGGCGGGCTGTGTAGCGAGCTCAAGGTCACGCAGCCAGTGAGGGACACAGAGTGAAGACATGGCAGCAGCCCCATGCGGTTCCCACCCGGGCTACCCCTGTGGGCACCCACGAAGTGGCTTGGGACGGCCCACAGCAGTCACGCTGGGATCTGTGACATCAGCGGCGTCACAAAGGAGGGTGGCCAGCCTGCACAGGAGACATGCCACCTTCACAGGGTTTCCAGGCCCAAAGCTGGCACCCACCCCATACTCGGTTCCACACTGGGGCAACCACAGCAACCACCAGCCCCCAAGGCTGGGCCGCAGGCGAGGCAGGGCGAGCTAAGGCAATCAGACGCCAGGGACACCGCGAAAATCACCCCTCCCCCACTGATGGCACAGAAGAGCTGACTGAGTGTCCGTCTGGCAGGAGACCTGGCGACACCTTGGCTGCCAACACCCGGGACACACTTCCGCCTCACCAGACCCCTCTGCCCCAGGGGAGCCGTGTCCCCTACAAAGAGCAGTTCTAGCACATTCTTTGTTGCCTTCTGTTCTCATCCTTGGTACGTAAAAAATTATTAAAATACGCTATAAAGGAAGTGAAGAAATCAAAACAGATCCTATGAACACTGTCAAGAGGCAAGTGGGAGGGGCAAATCTAGACGGGCAGGGCGCCGGGAGGGGTCCTCCCAGGCAGCTCCTCCCAGAAGGAGCAGAGGCTGGGCAGCTGGAGGTACCTCTGCCCTGAGGCTAAGACCTCCCCCTCCTCACGTGGGGCCTCTGGCACAGACACAAGCACACGGCTGCGCTGGGAAGATTTAAAGGGGACCATGCACCCCAACACTCCCAATGGTGCCGTCAGAGCCAAGGCAGCAGACAGGGGAGCAAGGCTGGCAGAGCCCCCGAGGCAAGGGGCCAGCAGAAGGGCGCACAGGGGCTCCCGGGGGGGGGGGCCTGCGAGGTCTGGGGACACAGGGACAGAAGCCAGACAGTGCGGAGGCTGGAAGGAGGCACACAGACCACAGGCCCAGGCCACCACTGTGAGGACAGGGCTGGGCTGCCACTTAGACCTGCAGACCCCAACCACTGGGGAAATTTCTTCTAAGTCCACACAGGAGATTTCCGAGCAGCTCCGGAGCGATCACTGAAGGAGAAGGGGCAGCGCTGACCATCTGCTGAAAGGGCCAGAGTGAAAGTGTGCTCTGACCACTTGTCTGTGACCACGGCTCAGGGGACTGTCCTGCCCTCTCCCCAAGCAGCACACAGGCCAGTGACCTCGAGGTGGGCCTTCCCTGAGCCTAAGGACACCTGCACCCAGAACTGAAGGGCATGCTGCAAGGGAACCTAGGCCCGGGTCTGCAGCCATGACCAAAAAGCCAACCCCAGGAAGACGAGAGACCACAAACACACACATGACCCAGATTCGGACACAAACACAGACGCAGACACACCCTGCCAGACAACACCCTCTGCTGTCCACTCTGAAGGTAAGAGACCTGCCATGGCCTCAGCTCCGGTGTGCCAGGACCCATCAGTCCTGAACACGGGGCTCTCTCAGGCCACGCTGGCTGTCCAGGGTGCAGCCACACCAAACAGAAAGGCTCCCAGCTCACAGGGAGTCCCCATCATGCCACCCAGAGCCAACTCGCCGTCTGAAACGAAGGCCCCAGCCATCAGCCTTCCCACCAGCATCCCCCCAATGAACACTGCCCACGCAGACCCTCTTGCCTGCCCAACTGTAACCCCAGTCTGCCGCTGCCACCTGGGCGCCGGTCTAGCCACGGGCAGAACCACCGCCGAACACTGCACAGCCGTGCACATGCACTCAAGCAGCAGCCCCCTCCAAGCACAGGCGACAGGCTCTCATTTTCCCCAACCCCTCCTCCGCTCCCTGAGACTGACACTCCGCTGGAGGGGCGCCCAGAGAAAATCAGGCGGGAGCCTCTATTCACAGATTCAGAAAAAGAAGTTTGATGCAATAGCTGAATTAATTAGGCCTCCCAAGAATAGCTGAGCCAGTGCAGGCAGCATTCTGTGTGTGCAATTTAATAAGCCTGGATATTTAAAAGGAAAGTTGCAAATACTTGGGGAGGGGACAGATGCCATGAGGAGCTGGAGGACGTCAGTGATTGGTTTCAGTGTCCAGTGGCCTGGGAGCTGCCTGCATCATAAGCGTCCCCTACCAGACAAACAACAGAGGCTGGGCCGGGCCCTCCCTGCCCTCGCTGCCCTCCAGCGTTTCAGAGAGGGAGAAGGAAATGGGCACATCCAAAACAAATTGCAAGCCACTGCAACTCGGGGCCCCGGGTGCCCGCTGATTAGGCACGGAGCCCGGTGCCCAATGGCCCTTGCCCTCGTATGGGAACTCTGGATCCACTCCCTGGAAAGCCCAGGGAGACGCACAGAGCTGGAGTCCACAAGTCTCGGCCCCCTGCCACGGCGCCGGGACACCTGGCTTCGTTTTTTAGTGTGTTTCCCAAGACTTCAAGGCACAAAAGGCTCTGCTCAGCCCAATCCTGTTTGCTGGGGGCCACAGGCAGGCACCCTACTGTCTGCAAGCCTGGGAGCCTCAGGGCGATGGCAATGCCCTTTGCCCCCACCTGGTCTGGACACTTCCTCAGATACCCCGAAGAAGGCCTGGGCCTAAGGCTCCAGCCTGGGCCCGACCTAAATCTAACTTCCCAGGACTCTGGGCAGGAGCGTCTGAGGTCTGAGGCCTGCCCTTCCTGGCCTATTTGGGCAGTTGCGGTGGGCCTCAGGAAGGCATCTCCACCCACCAGGCCGGGACCCCCATGCCAGCTTGACTGACCCCCTCCCAAGCGACAGAACCTTCCGTGGGAACTCCAAAACTAACCTGATTTTCCTCAAAACAAAGCAAGACCCTGAGACGTGGGGGGAGGCAGAAGCACAAGTCCCGGCCTGCACGAACAGAGCCCCTGCCCCAAAAGGGCTCCCACTCTCTCCCCTTACCGCCCTCCCTCTCCCCGCACGGAGCCCGGTGGGGACACTCACCAGGGGCACTCGCCGCTTGTACTTGTTGCCATAGTCAAACTTCTCCTTCACGTCGTCCAGGCAGCGGCCGAGGCGCGCCTGCTCCTCCTTGCCTGTGTAGTCCTGGCTCAGCAGGATGTAGGCCCGCCAGTTGGCCGAGTCGAAGCCCCAGTGGCAGGTCCGGTTCTCGAGGGCCTTGTGCGAGTGCACCACGAACTTGTGCGGCGGGTACATGAGGCGGCAGTCGAGGCACTGGATGCAGGCGGCGCTCGGGCTGCTGTAGAGCTCGGGCACCAGCAGCCCCTTGCACTTGCCGAAGCACTCGTGGTACACGCGCACGCTGCGCTCGCTGAGCTCCAGGCCCAGCGCCAGGCTGGCGGCCAGCTCCTTCTTGCAGGGCGGCGGGTAGGCGCCTCCGTACAGCAGCGCGTTGCACAGGCGCTCCGCGTCCGTCTTGGTGATGAGCCCGCACGAGGGCGCCGAGAAGGGCAGGATGCCCATGACTTTGAGGATCTCCAGCTGGTCGGCCGTGCAGCGCGAGCAGTAGATGTGAAGCTCGTCGCACACCGAGTTGATCTGCTGCAGCGAGAAGTCGCGCAGCACCGAGTTGAGGATCTGCGGCAGGCACAGGCGCTTCTCGCCGCCCACCACGAAGCACGAAATGGTCTCGCCCTCCAGGACGGTTTCGCAGCGCTCCGTGGAGCGGTCGGACGGCATGAAGAAGGGCCCGGGCAGCACGGGCGGCGGCGGCTGGATGGCGGGCAGGTGCAGCACGGGCGGCGGCTCGGCGGCCGCGGGCACCGGCGCCGGCACCGCGGCCGCCTCCTTGGCGCTCTCCTTCTTGTAGGCCTCCTGCGCCCAGCGCGCCGAGAAGGCTGCCGGGCCGCCCAGCGAGCTCATGGAGCTCAGGTGGAACTGCTCCAGCGTCTTCTGCAGCCCCGGGTGCGGCTGGAAGCCACCGCGGCCGCCCGCCGCCGCCTCCATGGTGCGCTCCGACTCCACGGGCCGCTCCCGCTCCCGCGCGCCGGGGCCCCCGCGGCCCCCGCCGCCGCCCCGCACGCCCCGGCGGCGGCCCCGGCCCCGGCCCCGGCCGCCCCCCGCCGCCGGCTCCCGGCCGATCACGGTCGCGGCCTCGGCCTCGCCCGGGGGCGCGAAGGGGAAGGCGGGCGGGGCGAAGGGGTCCCGCCGCTGGAGCCCGCCGCCGCCCGGGCCCGGCGCCACATCCACGCGCCCCGCGCCGCGCCCGCCGCCGCCCGGGCCCCCCGCGCGCCCCCCGCGCGCCCCCCGGGCCCTAGGCGCGGGGCATGCCCCGGCGCGCGCCGCCAACGCCAACGCCAACGCTCGCGGGCCCGGGGCTCGCGGGGGGCGCGCGGGCAGGTGCCGGCGCCGCGAGGCGCGAATCGCCGCGGTGGCCGAGGCCGAGGGGCCCGGGAGGAGCGGGGACGCGGGCGCGGGGCCCGCCGGGCCGTCCTCGCGCGGCGCGCCGCCGCCGCCCCGCTCCTCCCACCGCGCGGCGCCCGCCCGGCTCGTCCCGGCGGCGCTGGCCGGCCGCGTCGCGCCCGCCGCCGGCCGCCCCGGCCCGGCCCTGCCCGCGCCCACCCCGCCGCCCGCGCCGGCTCCGCGGCCCGCCCGTCCGCCCCCCGCGCGCGCGGCTTCCGGGGCGGCGGAGCGCCTGTGAGGCGGCCCTCAGAGCACGGCGGCGGCGCGGGGCTCGGCGTACATCCTCCCGGCGGCTCGCTCCGGCTCGGAATGAGCGCCCGGCGCTGAGCTCACGCCGCCGCCCCGCCCCGCGCCCCGCCCCGCGCCGCCGCCCCGCCCCGCGCGCCGTCTGGGCCGCGCGTCCGCCGCAGCCGAGCGCCGGCCAGGAATGCGACCGCCCCACGGCCGGCTCTTCCAGGAACGCGCGCTCCCCCCGCCCGCGCTCGTGCCGCTCGGCCGCGCTCGGCCGCGCTCGGGCCTGTCCGCCCGACACTCGGCCCCGTCCGCCCGCGGCTCGGCTCCGCTCGGCTCCGCCCTCCCGGAACTCGGCTCTTCTCGGTCCCCGCTCGGCCCCGCCCACCAGGGGCTCGGGCCCGCTCGGCTCCGCTCGGCCCCGCCCACCGGCGCTCGGCCCCGCTCGGCTCGCTTGGCCCCGCCCGCCGGAAGACCGCTCGGCGGGGGCGGCGGCGGCGGCGGCGCCGGGGGCCCCCTTTCCGGCCGAGGCCGCTTCCTGCGCGGCTGGGAGGGCTCTTGTCCCGCCGCCGCCGGGGCCCAGAAACCCACACGCGGCCCCGCCACAACCGCAAACCAGCTCAGAAGCGGGTGGGACGAGACCGCGCAGCCCCACCGCACGCTTCGAGACCCCCCCCCCAGTGACGGACGCAACACACCGCGGGGTTCCCACTCACGACGGCGATGCCACAGCACGACCCAGGTCCCCGTACACAGCGGGGACGCCACGAAACACGGCCCGGGGTCCCACACATGACGGGGACCCCACGCAATATGACCCAAGGTCCAACATAGGACAAGGACGCCCCAAAACAATGAGGGTTACTAACACGTTAGGGTAGAAGCACCCCAGAGAACCCACGCAGGAGACAGACGTCTTGCAGCGTGTCCCAGGACCCCCACTTGATGGCAAGTGCCTCACAAGGCCCCCTGCCCCAGTAACGATGGACAAGCAGCACCTACCTCCCGATGACCCTGCACCCTGGTCCCCACTGCATGGCCAGCAGGACCACCCGCCAGCAGCTGCACCTCCCAGCTGTCCCAGCGCGGGACTGCCGGCTCCAGGGGGCAGGGCCTCTGTGCCTCAGACGGATGGCCCTGCATCTAGGGAGCTGTGCCCTGTGTGGGCCGAGTTGCTGCCAGGGCCGGGCGCAGGGTAGAACCTCAGGAACCTGGTCCCTACATGCCTAGGGCAGACCCATGTGACCCTTACCCACAGCCTCCCAGACCGGAGAGCCATGTACAGGATGTGGCCAGAATGAGACCCCACTGCCCATCCTTCCCCACACTGGCTGAGTCATGGGGGAGACAGAAAGTGCCTGCTGGCAGAAGACCAGGGACCCGAACTTGAACAGGCTGGCTAGGTGGCCCCCGGAGGAGGCCGAGTCCCGCAAAGGCCTAGGGGTGGGGACTCGAAGTCAGGAGAACAGTCCTGGCTATGTTAAATCCGTGTGAGGGCAGAAGGACAGGTAGCACCCTTTCCTCCACAGAATGAGGGCACCCACACCCAGCTGGGCACTGGGGGACATGACGATACCTGCAGAACTGAACAGAGGCCCTAGTACCACACCCACTTCAACTTGGGTGACCTTCATCTTGTCACCTACTGCTCCTACCTCCCCAGTGGAGATTGCAACTGACCCCAAACTAGTGCTCCTGGGGGCAGTGCCTGCCCAGGGAGCTGACCGGGCATCTCTGCAGACCTCGAGGTGTGGGCAGGTGTCCGGAGAGGCAGGCAGCTAGGGTGGGTGGGTGACCACACATCTTCATGGCTGTAGACACAGGCAAGCGCCTGGGGTGGGGTGGGGGTCTGAGCTTCAGGGTGCAGTGCTAGGTGTTTGGAAACCTGACCCCTCCCCGCCATGGACAGAAACCCTCCCCGGGCCTGGGGGACAATCCATCCTTACCGTCACTCCCATCCCCCCAACACCCAGCAGCCCCCAATGCAAAGCTTCTCTGTGGGCGATCATGAGACGAGGAAAGGGGTATCTGGAAAACGCTTGTTTTCAGAAATAATTTTCTTGGCCCACACTTGGACAAAGACTTTGTATTGCACCTGAGAATGTCAGCCCCTTCCATGTGGATTTGAATCCTGGACTGCCCGGGCAACCGGTAATTGAAAGGAGGTGGTTAGCGTCCCAAGGGCTGGTCAGGAAGGGTTTCCAGCCAAGTGAGAAGCTCCTGCTGTCGGCCACCAGGCACTGCCCACCCCCCGTGAGCCATGATGGCTCCACCGCTCCCCTTCCCTCTGTTCCCTCTGCTTTCAGGGCTCCATTAAGGGGGTCCCGGGAAGAGGCCAGCCAAGGGCCAGCACTTGCACACAACTGCAGAATCCAGAATGAAGCCAACATGGGCGTTCAGGGGTATGCGGTGGGGCACAGGGGTGAAGGGCCCCGGCTGGTCTCAAAAACGTCTGCGCCTCCACGGAAGCAGAAGCCTCCTCCTGTAAGATGTTGGAGTTTGTGGGAGCAGCCGAGGCCTCTCACCCACCCAGGACCAGGGCAGCCGTGTCTATACTGAGCCAGTCAGGCCCTGTCTGCCCCCAAGACGGGTAGGGGCACTCCCACCTGCTGGTCTTCCTCCCTGCAACCCATCCCAGCACCTACTTTGGCCGGTGGCCCCTCCTCCCACTTTCCTATGACCACGGGCCCTATGACCTATCCCAGCAGGTGGAGGCACAGCCACACTGGGGGCTGAGGCAGGGACCCAGACCTTGCCAGCTGACGGGTGTGGGCAGCTGATCAGGTGTGTCCTCACTCCACAAGCACATGTAGCTTGTACCCTGCAGGCACGGGCCAGGTTCTGGAAACCAGGCAAGTTCTGTCCATGTGGCTTCCATCTCCTGCTGGGAGACTGGCATAGGACGGGCAACACTGTCAGGGATGGAGTGAGGCCTTGCAGGTCCTGAGGGGACTTCGAGGGGCTGAGGGCTCCAGGACCAGAGACATGAGGATGCTGGTGACAGTGGGGGCCCCTTGCCTTGAGAGGAGCTCAGGGTCCCAGCTGGGGAAATGGGCTGGGAGGCTCAGATCAGCAGGCCCCTCAGAGAGACCTCCCCAACAGACAACTAGCCCTGGGTGGATGGCTCTGGCCTCCCGGCTCCCACCTGCCCTACTCCCTACTCCTTGGGAAGCAGAAGAAAAACACCTGCTTGCAGCCAGGGACAACCCACCATTGTCAGCAAAGTACAAAGATATCGCCTTGCCCTGGCCAGTTTTGCTCAGTGGTTAGAGCGTCGGCCTGCGGTCCAGAGAGACCCGGGTTCGGCTCCCGCTAAGGGCACGTACCTCGGTTGCAGTTTGTCCCTGGCCCTGGTTGGGTTGTGCGGGTGGCAGCCACTCGATGTGTCTCTCTTTCTCTCTTCCTTTCTTCCTCTCTTCCTCTCTCTCCCTCCCACTCTATCTGAACAAAAAATGCAAAAGTGTCCTCGGGCGAGGATAAAAAAAAAAAAAAAAAAAAAGATATCGCCTTAAAACTTTAAATTTGGGGGCAGAAAGTTCTCAAGTAACGTGATCGTGATAAAAATTTAGAAAAGACTCTTGTGTTTTTTCTTTTCAATATGTTTTTATTGATCTTTTTAGAAAGAGAGAAAGGGGGAGAACGAGCAACACATCGATGTGAGAGAGAAACATCGATCGGCTGCCTCCTGCATGCCCCGTGCTTGGGATCGAGCCCACAACCCGGGCATGTGCCCTGACCGGGAATCAATCTGGGACCTCTCAGTCCACGTGAGGACGCTCCATCCACTGAGCCACACCGGCCGGGCAGGACTTTTGTCTTCATTTTAGTTCTGCCACAATTGACCTCGACGCAACGGTGCGAACAGTTGATTTGGCAGGCAATCCCAGGACACGGAGCGGGGGCAGGGTGCGGGGAGGCAGGACGCAGCGTGCGCCGTGCACCTGTTACCTGCGGGCTCCAGGAGCAGGATCCTGGCACACAGCGGGTGAGGGCACGGGCGCTGGAGCAAGGAGGTCGCCTGCAGACAACTGAGCTAACAAGGGAGCACAGGACAGGCAAGGGGTCAGGCCACTTTGAATATTTAAAATGTATTCACAAGTTGGAAGTTTGATAAGAAACGAGCTCTTCACACAGTTTCAAACTTGGTACCACAAGGTTCCCAAAGGGAAGAAGAACGAGGACCCAGGGACACGCTGGCAGGTGTGGCCGTAACCAAGCGATCCAAATGGACACCCTCGGTCACCAGGTCAATCACCGTCCTGTTCACATGTCACCACTGCAACTCTCACGCCACCGAGACATAACCTCCCTCT